TAGGATCTTTTACCGCTGATGGGAAGAAACCTGGCAGTGGAACGACGTTCAACCAATGCAGGCTAAATACTGCAGACACAACAACCAAGAGAGTTGTTGTGAGGGAGTTCGAGAAGATGAAGAACACAGTGATTGTCAGTGTTAACGTCCCAGATATCTTGGGATCGTCTAACGCTGCGATGAGCAACTTTGAGATCTTGCTCCCGGATGTGAACACATGTGTAAGTGTGATGATGTTCAACCAGTGGAGCATCAGGAATACACCACTATGAGGAGAGTTGGGTCAGAAACAGCAACATCTTGATGGTCAGAGAAGATCTTTGTTGTGAATCAGCCTGTTAAACAAGAAAACAGAAACCAAAATGTTACATCTGGAAAAATTACATCTGCCGTTCCACCACTTGATTGTTAAGTGCTGTTGAGTATTTAGAAAATTTCCTCTGATATTCTTGTTTCTGGAAGTTTATAGAAGACCTTGCCCTCCGTAATTGTCCCTTCGTTAATGCATTGCTTGTATATAGAGATGTGCTGTCAAGCCACATCAGTTTAGTACATAAAATGTACTAAACACTTGTTCATATTCACTGTCATTATTGTTTTAAGTTATTCTTTGCCATTTTAGAAAGGCACAGAGAGAAATGTGACAAAAGCATTGACTGTACAGTTTTTCTTAGCCTTTTGTCCCAACCATATCTGTGGCAGGAGGTCATATCAAGTCTTTAACTTGCTGGTTTTAGCCACTGTGTAACTCACTGTAAAATATGCTTTTAGTCTGTTTTGTAGTCAGCATTGATCTCCCCTAACCAGAGTGATCACAACTCATACAATACTTCAGTGGCTTGTTTTTCAAATGTGAATGTTTTGTTTCTAAATGTCTTTGCAACAGTAAAAGCTTCATTAAGTTATGTCATATACACTGTTTGAAGAAATCCACCAATATTCCTGCAAGTGAATACCGGAGCAACGCAGCTTTTATCATATTTACATGTTTTATTTCTTGGTCAGAGGCAATGTTGTTCCCAACACCATTGCCTCTGCATCTGTATCCTAGTTGCTGTCCAGTCGTGCTGGACTATCTGGCCTGGCACATTTTCTTTCTGAGCAATCCATCCATTTCTTCACAGCACCAACAAGAAGTTGAGTGAAGGCTGCTTTGACTGTCAGGTAAATCACACCCATTGTTTGCTCTCCTATGAATCCATCTATCCATGTTACAGATGGATGCAATGATTCTCCTGGACACTAGATTGTTGTGTTTACGCACATATTTCGTAATGTAAGAAAGTGCCTCAGTGCATTTATGTGCACAAGTGATTTGGCTGTTTTCTCACCAACCCCTATGTTGGTGAGAAAACTCATATCCTCAGTTTTTGTGTAAGTTGATGCCAAGGATGCAGATATTTGATCTGAACAGCTGCAGGTAACTCAGCTGCATAGAAAAGAGGCTAATGATGGCGTTTTTCTCTTTTTTTAAAGTTGTAAAGCTGAGCTGATTCAGAACAAACCTTGGTTGGCGAAACAACTTGAAGGTCCAGATGATTTCGACGTTTTGTTTTGGTTTTGAGTTGCAATCTGGTAAATTCCTGAAATGAACAGAATCTATTTAGATCTTGTTCTGAAAACATAAATTCACGTTTTTAAATTGAAGCCAGAACAAATGTCAGTAAATGTACGTAAAAATTTTTAAGTTCATTTTTGCTTAAAAAGATAAATAAATACAACTGATGAACAGAACATTAAATAAATTCAGTCTAAATAACAAAGTCTGACAAAAGTTGGAGGTTTAAACACCAAAAATTTGGATCAGAAGGAAGACACAGAAATAATTCAGAGAAATATTAAGAAATAGTTTTTTAAAAAAGCTTTCCTCCAAATCTCTCCACATTAAGACATGTGAAATGAAAGCAGAAAGTAGATTTAGTCTGGGGTACAAACTAAATAATGGACGAATGTATTTACAAAAGAAAATGCATAGATTAAGTAAAAAGATGTAAACCTTTGCTTGTTCTTTGCTCTCTGTAGTTCAGGTTCTGCAAGGTGTTGAGTTCTGAAAAACTGTTAATTCACAAAAATATTGGAAAATTTGTCAGGTGAAGTTTCTTGAAAGAAATCTTGTTTAAGAAAACAAAGTCCTTGCTCAAAAACCTACCTCCAATTATTCTGAAGAGATGATGGTGGGTGAGTTCTGTTTTGCTCAAAAGATGCTCCTTCTTTTATGCAAAGATTTGCAAACACACACCTACTTTTACCGAGAATGAAACCAAAGCCACTATTCCTATTTTGGCTCACATTCAACAATAATCATGTCACATCTGTCATTTCCTCAAGCAGGTGAAACATTCACATACTTCCTTGTAGGGACAGAATCAAAAGCAGACCGTTTGATGAACTCATTAAAAACCGAGTTTGAGGTAATCTTAGTGTTTATAAGTTTACAAATGTTACAAAACTGTCTTAACAATGGAATACATCCAAATGTGGTGATTTAGTTTTAATGCCACATTATTCAGTGGATAATAAGATTGATTTAAGCTTTAAAATATATATTGATGTCCTCAAGGTTTGAGTTATTCATTTGATTTTGGAGTATTTAGTTCTATAACTATTACTTATATCAACCTGAACAGTTGTTCTCTTCCTTTAAATGGTTGAAAGTATGTTTCTGACTTAATTAAAAAACTCTGCTGTATGAGTCAGTAACTGTACTAATTGGCACTGTGATCACCAGGAAAGAAAACGGCATGTTTGTTCAGCAAGAAACCAAGATGAAAATCTTTGCTAAGCATTTTACTTTTGACAAACAAGGAAAATATTTCTGAATCACTTCATCTGCTTGTTTTAGTCACTAGTACTGAGCCAGGTTCTGGTTCTGCTGGAGGTTTCTTCCTGTTAAAGGGGATTTTTTCTGCTCTCGGTATGAGGAATTGATGCAAAGTTCACAAATGGAAGCGATTATCTACTGAGATAGAAAACATTTTAAACTAATTTGAATAATTATTTGAGATGACATCTCTGCTTTTCCACCAGAAAAATTGTAATGTACTTTATGTAGGCTGGTCGCAATAAATCACATGATAAAAGAATATCAATTTCCATTTGCATAATTTAGTGTTTCTTTGTACAAAAACCTTTTATTTTTAAAGATAATAGTGTTTACAGAGACGTCATAATTCAATTTGTTTTTTATAATCAATACTTTAAATTTAAAGTCTAAATTTAGACTTTAAACAATCTCTTGAAAATATTTTAATATTCAAAATAAACAACTATACCATTACCATTTATTATTGCAAAACATCAAGATGACATTTTGATGAATAAGCTCTATATAAGTAAAATGAATAGAATTTGACCTTAGAGGAGACATCACTCCCTGCATTCATTTCCTATGGAACCTGTGCAATGAGGCAACAAGACAAAACCTACTTCATTTAAAATGATCCTTCAGACCAGCAGCGCAAAACTCATGTTGGGGTTGCATTATCATTATTGTCCTCAAAAGATTAGTTGTGGAAGAATAGATCGATAAAATTACCCAATAAACTGTTCAAACACTAATAGGTGTCCCAGTCGTTGACTTCAAAAATTGAACCACTTTTCATATTGACATAAATCAGATTAAAATGTAATAAGTTTTGATTGATGAAATTAACTAACATTCTCATTATGTTGCCTTCTAGACAACGACAAACTCTTATGGCAGGAAAGATTTTACCTGCATGCCTCAAGTTCTGCATACGCCACAGAGAATTTCAAATATCTATCGTATTAGGAAATGACTAAATGCTTGGGAAAGTTTTCTCTATGGTATGTAACTCAATGAGTTTTAGCAAAAAAAAAAACTAAAAAAACTTTTGAAGTTCTTTGAATAGTTTCACTTCAATGATGGTAGTCATGAATTTTTCTTTATAACTTCCTCAACTTCATCAGTATCCCCTCAAACCCTTCCTGTTAAAGGGACATTCGCGATTGAATCAATCCAATGTCCACTGTTTCAATCCACATTCATAATAGTACAGGTCATGTGTCTTAAGAAGCATTAGTTTTAAATATATATTCACCATAATTAATAATCTACCACCTGACTTTATTTTGAAGGAACAAGTTCCACACCTACTATGCAGGCAACATAAACACCTAATTTAAATCGTCTCACTCAACTCTGAGAAAAAATATTCTAACATCATTTATCTGAAATAAATACTATGACACCTAACACTACTTAGAACAGAATAGTTCACTAAACTGTTGGTCAAATCAAACCCATTTTCAGTTTTTGTGTTTGGTTTATATCCATGATTATTGCATTGGCCCTCACAGAAGATCTTACCAATGGGAGAATCATAAATGAACGTTAAACTCCTTCCAGCAGGAGGTTTCAACTCCAGTCCTACACCAACAATGCACTACGTGAAGGATTTGATTACCTATATACGTTTTATTGTTTTTTAATTTTTAATATACTTGTACAAAAGCCACAAAGTCATAATGGAGTATTTGTGTGTAGAATTTAATTTATAAATTTGTCAATGAAAATCCCAAGACCTGTAGAACATAATCCACAAGAAAGAGAATAAACCAAGAATCAGGTTAATTTTTCAAGATGGTGAGAAAACAGCCAAGGATGCAGGATTATTACATTGAGAAACATTAAATTTTAGCTGAGAATAAACCAGGGCTTTAATCCCAAAAATGATCAAGTATTACAAGACATTCATATCAATCAATCAAGTTTATTTTTTGTATATTATATATCTGCAACAATGGAGCTCAGAGTTATTTACATCATGAAAGCATGAAGATGATATAGTCAACAATTGTGACAATCAGTAACAGACATTACATTTTGTCAAGTGACATCCTTAAAACCACCAAATAAATAGTTGCTCAATGTTCCATTTATTATGGTTCACAATAAACTACTGGGTATAACCCTGGATCCAAAGGAACTCAGTGTTTTAGCTGTTTTTTAGCTGTCTTAAACCTTGACCTCGTTGGTCAAGGTTTAAGAGTTTGTTCCCTAGTATGTCATTTCCTTCACCCTTAGCTTTGAAAGCGTTCCCCAACATGTGAATGCATGTATGTATATACATGTGAATGCATGTATGTATATACATGTGAATGCATGTATGTATAGACATGTGAATGCATGTATGTATAGACATGCACGCAAATAGCTATAAGACAGAGAAAAAACACAATTATATATTCTCAACAGTAAGCGTGCAGCAGTGTGTGTGTGTGCAAGCAGATAAAATTAAAATTGGAACACAAAAACAAAAGTGACGCAAAAAAACATTGAACCCCCAAAGAAACTAAAAACAGTAAAAAGTTTCATATTTTCAACTGCTTATAAGAATTAGGTGATTCACAAAGAAAATAACATTTTCCCTCAAATTAATTAGAAATTCAATAAAATTAACCACACCAAAAAATAATAACAATGATTATGATTAAATTGAAAACGAAGGTACGGTAAATAAAGTAAAACAAAAAAAGAATTATTTACTGTCCAACCAAAATGAAATATATATACTCCAGATCAACAGAACCTTAGAGGTGACTAACTCATATAGATGCTACAGTTAAGGTAACTGAAAGAATTTTCTTTTAAAAGAAGTTGGATCAATTGGATTCAACATTAGACAAAATTCTAGGTGGTACTTTACATTTTTATTCATGATGTAAAAAAAATGCCATTAAGGCATATTTTCAAAATAGGTCAGTCAAGCAAACTAACTATAATTTACAGATTTTGGTAAACTTGTATGTTTTCTTTATCATTTCAGATTAAAACAATCATGTCCTCGAATGTCACCTGCTTCTTTCCCTATAAATCTTTACCTCATCTCTCTTTAAGCTCCCCCCAGTCCCATGTGCATATTTTGTGTTAGAAATAAACACAAAATAATGTCTGATAAAGTTGATATATCTATATATTATATTCCACTTGTGGAAGTAAATCTATTTTAGCTTCACCTTTGCACAGTTCTGAGTTTAGATTTGTTGTGAAGGAATCAGCGAATTACTGTTTCGCCAGGATTTCCTCTCCCTTCTCTACTTTAGCTATGATCTCTGCCTTTCCCTTCATCTTCATCAGAGCCTGAACTCTCTCCTTCCAGCCTGGCTTGGCCTCCTGTTCCTCTCCTTTAATGAGCATGTCAATGTACTCTGGAGTGGTGAGGGGATTTGGGTTCAGGACTATCTCTTTCATTCTGTTCAGACACTTTGCAGCCTCTGCAATCAGTTTCACCACATCAACCTGCATAGATCGATACTCCGACATCAGATTCCTCATCAGCTCCTCTAAGGTTAACTTCTGTCCAAAGGCTTTCTCGTATTTTTCTTTCAGCTCTTTCACTGTTCTCGTCTCATGAATTTCCTGATATTCCCACCTGAAGCTGTGGTTGCAATGCACATTCCAGAAACATTTTCCTGGACACCTTGTACAGTATCCATCTGGGCCCATTGCATCACATCCTTTTTTATCCTCATCTTTTTGTATGTTACAAGGGAAGTGACAGGTAACATGGCACTGCATGCAGTTGGTGACAAACTTCCCAGTATGAGAAATATCAACTTGTTCATTCTTTCTTACAGTAACATGAAACTCAAAGTTCTCATTGTTTCTGATCTCTGCTTCATGCTCTTTGAGTTTGTCATTTGTCTCCCTGATATCCTCTAGCTTGGCTAGGCCAAGTTTACCTGCTTCTGCAGCTCCTCCACTGTACTTTCCAGGTGCTTTCTTTCTTTCAGGACCTCGTTGGTCATTGTCAATCTTATGGTTTTGATGTTAGCTAAACTAGCAAAGAAACCAGCCATGTTCTGTGTTCCCATGTTCCAATACTCAAAGGTTTTCTCTTCATTGGCCCAAATCCTTGCCACTAGGGATTTGTTGTTAGCAAACAGCACTGAGTTATTGAATTTGAAGTGAACCGGCAGCCCGTCTGCACCTTTAGGACACGGGACACCGGACACTTTAATGGCCTCTATAACTGGTTGCTGCTGCTCATCTGCAAACGTCACCAGGATCCTGATGTTTTCTGCCACATCTTTGCCAAAAATTGAGAGTGCTGAATCAAACACATATCTTTGTGTTGCTGTCAGTTCAGTTAGACCTGCCTGAACTACGAAACACACAGTATCAATTTCACCAACACCTTCTTGGTTAGCAAAGAGGTTTCGCAGCTGCTCTGTGATCTCCTTGTCTCTGTCTACGCTGCCGATTCCCCCAAAGCCTGGAGTGTCTGTGATGGTGAGGGAGTAGTTCACCCTGAATCCCTCCTGGTGGTAAAGTTTGTACACTGTGATTCCTGATGTCTGACTGTGAACCTGTGAGTCTGACTTACCTTCATCCACTAACTTAAACCGAAACGAGTCTTCCCATCTAACGCCTAGAACGTAGTTTATCATCGCATTGATGACAGTGGACTTTCCAGCACCTGCAGCTCCAAGAACCATGATGTTTCTGTTACAATTTATGGATTTCTCTCCAAAAGTGAAACTCTTGCAGCCTTTAATGTTAATCTGTTTCTCTTCTAGAGGAAGTTTGTAAATCTCGGCATGGCCGGTTTGTGAAATCAGTAACGTGCTTTTTTCTTTGACAACATCAGCCAATCGTTTCGCTTCAGGCTTTGAATCAGTGCAGGTCTGATTTGTTCCTGGTACGACTGACTGATAAAACTCTGCAGCTACCCTAATTAACTCTCTCAGTGGGAGGATATTGAGCCAATGCAACCACAGTGCGATATCAACCATAACCAACAGAGTCGTTTCCAGTGAGTTTGTCAAAATGAATACTACAGTGACGGTTATTGTTAATGCTCCTGATATCTTTGGATCATCCAAAGCCGTGATTGCTACATCTGAAACTTGCTTTCCTCCTTTGATTAAATCTGTCACAGTGATGATGTTCTTCCAGAGTAACAAAATTATTACAACCACAGCAATGAAGAGAGGTGTGGTCAATAACAGGCACATCCTGATTGTCAGTGTTGGTTCTTCTTCGGTGTCAATCTGCCTGCAGTTAGAAGAAAACGGAAACAACAATGATGAAACTAAAAACATATTTTTATGTCTAATGTAGATTCAAAATTCACCACACAGCCAGTGATCTCATGAATTCACATCAATCCTCCATGTTTCCTTTGGAAAATGCATTCAAGCTTTCAAACTACTTAAATACTTTTAGTAAAATGTAAATATTTCCTAATTTTTGATTTTTTTGCCACATTAATGTGATCGAACAAAATCTTTCATTAGTTTTGATGGTGCAATATTAAATCTTGCTATTATGATAAAACAAATTCCTCTGAAAGCTGCTTGGCCACATCTGACTGCAAAATACTTCACAACATAAAATGTACCGACATTCAGTTACAACATGTGCTCTGATGAGGCCCATATGTTAGATTAAAATTTGAAAATCAGTAAATTTAGGCTTTAACAATCAGAGCCACTGCAACATTCTAGAAGAACTGAAAATCACAATAAATCAAAGTCCTCTTTAATATACTGTTGGTTTTTAGCTGTTAATGCCAGTTTCGTAGATATCTGGTCTCTTCTGCAGCAAATAACTCAAATGCAAAGCAACCAATTATAATCACTGATATTTCTAAAAAAAAAAAAACTCTATTGAGCTTATGATGATTCATAACAAACCTTGTTCTGGTGTTGGCAACAATTTGCAGATCCAGATGATCTCAAGATGTTTGATTTCCAATAGGGTGACAGATTCCTGAAATAACACAGAGCCTATTTGCATGTTCCTGTTTTGCTGTAGGGAAACTTTCAGGCATTTTTAAATGAAATCAGAAAAACATGACTCAAAAATGGATGATTAAATGCACCATGAAATTAGCAAAGTCTGAAACAGAAGTTAGAAGTCTGAACACCAAAATGACATTTGGATAAGAAGGAAGAGAAAAATTATTCAGATGAAAATATAAATATTTAGACTGGGATGTGAGGCATTGCATTAAATTATCACTCTGCCAAAAATCTATGCAAATGTTTTTTTAAAAACCCTTTCATGTATTAAAATTAAATAATACAAATCTTTGTTGAAAGTTCTCTGCTGTCTGTAGATCAAGTTCTGCAGAGTTCTGAGTTTGCTAAACTGGATTAATTCACAAATATATGGGAAAGGTAGTCACTGTGTGGGATTTGGTTTCAAATAAATTATTACCTACACAGACTTTGGCCCAGACCCCCTGAATCAGGACCCATCAGCTGTCAGAACATCTGACAGCTGATGCCCTGCAGCTGCCAGATGTGTCCCTGGTCCAACACCTACTTTTACTCAGAACGAAACAAAAACCATTATATCTAATCTGGCTCACATTCAACAACACATAAAATATTTCAAGCCCATCTTTTCCTCAAGCAAGTGAAATGTTTGCTTACTTCCTTGTACCAACCAGGAAGGAGTTTAATTTGTATAAAAACTTTGTGCAGTGTAAAATTCAGAAAAGTTTGAGGTACTTTTAGCCTTTGTCTCAACAGAAAAAAAAATATTTTCAACATGAATAACATGTTAATAAAACCTATGGAGAAACAATTAAGAAGTTTAATTCTGAGATTTTATCTCAATATCAAAATGTAATTGAGTGGAAAGTTAAAAGTTGAGAGTGGGGATGTTGAGAGTTTGTGCATAGAGTCCATTTTCATGCACATTATTCAATTACGGTAGTAACAGTATTAATTTAAACTTAAAGAATCTATCAATGTTCTCACAAATCTCTTGTCAAATCGCTGTTCAGGATAAATTAATAGTTTAACATGAGTCAAAACGATTCTGCTCTACATTTCAACGTTTAAAAATTTGCTTCATTTATATGAAAACCCCATATGAGTCAGAAAGAAAAGGAAGAAAATAACTTCCTTTAAGCAAAAGTAAAAATCATTAATAAAGGGAAGTAGTAACCAGGAACAATAAAGAGCATCACCTGCTATTAGTGACTCGCCCTAGCAGTCCATTGCGCACTGGAGAGAGGCTGGACTTTGTGACACGAATGTGGACACAGTTCTTGGTTTCAACATAAAATGATTTGATAACAGTTGTCCCATATTCCACAAATTAGAAAACAGGCTGTAGGTCTTCTTAAGATCCATAAAAAGTATAAACCAACAAAGCACTTATCAGCAGATTTGGTCCACAGTCAGGACAAAAGCCACAGAGAATCACTATTTATTTGAAATGATCCCATTTCAAAAAACAGTTCAAGCAGGAAAATTCTTTACCTATAAATGAAGAGAGATGGTGCCAGATTTTGAGGCATGTAGTTCAGTCAGTTTGGGAAAAAAACATTTGAAGTTTCTGATGTGGTTTCAGTTCATCTGATATATGATGCAGCTGTATTTCCCTCTTCATCTTCCTCAACTATGTTTGCAATTCCTTTGTATTCTTCCTGTTGTACTCCAGTCTTCAAGGATTTTGGTTCTGATTTAAGATGCAGGACCAAAAGGGGACTTTTGTTGTTGTTCGCTTCCTTATTGTGCTTTTCTACAAGTGGACTATATCTAGAAAACAAAGCTATGCAGGTGACGACTGTTGCTCCCACTTGACAGAAATGAAGAGCAGGACAGGGCACAGTCCAGAACAAAAACCTTGGGAGTAATGCTTGTTGCATTTCTATTATGTTCTGTTATAATTGCAAATGTGAACAGCAGCTCATGCAATGCAAATTTTGCAATACATTTCTAATTTTAGAACAGCATCAGCAAATGCCTCTGCAAGCTAAAAAAAGAGAAGATGCACCACATGGAAAGTATGATTTGAGTACATGTCTCACCCGGAATGAAAACTGGGTCAGGTAAATTAAACAAAGTCTCCAAAGACCCTAAAATTTCACTTCTGAGCTCGAGCAGGTTTTTGCTCTTATTGATGTTTTATTGGGTACTGTACAATCAAAAAGAGTCAGCACAAATTTAACTCCCAACCAAAGTGTGCAATGAAGAAACCTTTTCTCCGACCAAACAAATCAGCCAGATAAAAACTTGCTCGAGGGGAAGTAGACAAAATCTAAAATATAATTTAATCACCATACTGAAGGACATATGGACACAGTTCTTGGTTTCAGCATAAAATGATTTGATAACAGTTGCCCCATATTCCACAAATTAGGAAACAAGGCTTTAGGTCTTCTTAAGATCCATAAAACGTGTAAACCGATGAAGCACTTATCAGCAGATTTGGTCCACAGTCAGGACAAAAGCCACAGAGAATCACTATTTATTTGAAATGATCACATTTCAAATAAATCTATCCCTATGCACGGTATCAGGGATAGAACCTCACTCTAAATGGGGATTCTTCGCTACAACAGGACCAAGCCAGCTAACCTTCATAGAATAACCAACAGAATCTGTCATGTCTGTGGGAACTGCAAGATAATTAAGTTGAAGTGTAACTCAACCCTGCAACATGACAGTGACCCAAAACATATCAGGAAAGCCTTCAAGGGTTTATTTCTTTGGCATTTCTGAATATGCCAAAGAAGCATATTCAGAAAAAGCGATCGAATTCAGTTTATAGCTAATTGACGAGGGTTTTGTAATGGATTCACATTTTTCTTTGTATTTGCAATAGAATGACCATAATTTCATATTCATAAATTTATTAACATATCCTTACATAAGTCATTTGCCTATCACATCCTCTCCACTGGATTAAAAACATAATCAGACTTTTGCCAAAGAAACATGGAGAACTGCTTTTATGACTTTAATCTGTAGCTGACCTTAAACATCTGGCTGATAAATGTAAACTGATTGCATAAACAATTTCCAATAGTCTTTTCCAATATTCCACAGCCTGGACAAAAGCAACTGGGGATGAGCATTCAAAAGATTTCCAATAACCGTTCTATCAGGAAAACCACGTTCATTTAAAAACAACTGAGAGCTTGTGTCAGAGTTTAATCTTTGGTATGTGACTCTGTGAGTTCAGCATTGAGGAAAAGAAATGTTTGTGGAATTTGTTTCAGTTTTGTTTTGTAGGATTTTTTTCTCCATAACTTCCTTGACTTCATCAGTGTTTCCGTTTATCCTTTTTGTTGCGTTTGTCTTCACACTCAACATGGTGGTAAAGGTGACTTGTCTTCATTAGTGTTGTCTTTAAATAGATTTTCATTCATATTTAAATTATTAAAAATATTTCCTTAAACGCCTAACATGAAGGTGTGTTTGTCGTTGGTTGTCTCATCCAGACATTACACATTTGGAAGATGTATGTCGGTCTATCCAGACCTAATTTAACCTGCCTGACCTCAAACGACTCAAATGAACAAAATGTTTAGAAATCTTTTTGCTATAATACTATCAGAATGCTATCAGTATTTCATCTGGATCAGTTATAAAATCAGTTTTTATTTTAAGTTTGTGTCCATTTGATTTCCTTAATAAAAGCCAAAGATTGAGCAGAATCACGTTTCTACCTGTGATGAATTTGGGATTCATCACAGGTAGAAACGTTTTCTCCAAGCCTTGTTGTAACTTGTAGCATCTCTTTTGTTGAGTTCAAATACTCTACAAGCTTATCTGAAAACTGTTTACAAAACTACTTTTCTATGGAGAATATATTCAAGCTTCAAGTTTTTGCCGACCGACTGCAGATTTCCCAAACAGAGTGCATTCATGTTACAATGTTTTTCTGTTAATAAAAGATAGAGTTTACATCATTATTTTGTTGTTCTTCAAGATAATTTGGATGTAGACAGTGTTACTTTGTAACTATGTTCATATTACTTGGGACAAAATTTTATTATTTCTTCAAAGTAAAATGTTTTACAGTCTCTCTGTTCTGACATGGTTCTGTCTGCTGTAGATCGTATCCTTTCACATGGCATCCAGAAAAACATCGACAAGTTTATAAAAGTTGGGATAAAGATTTTTCTCAGTTCAGCCTAAATTCTCCAGTCCTCCAAGATTACCATGATTACCGTGATTGTGTGCCGCTTCATCATTGCGTCCTAAATGATTGAGGTGTGCTTGGTCCACCTGGTTTATCTCTGATTTCATGCAGGGTTTGCATTTTCTTTTTTTTTTCTTGCCTGAATCTTTTGGCTTTAATCAAGCTTGGTTATGACTGTCATGAACTCATACGCCAAAAAAAAAAAAAAAAAAAAAGCTTACTGTTGATGAATTTGTCCAATCGCTGATCCTTAATTAGTTACCACAGTCTTGATTGTCAACACACATTTGCATATGTCTAATTTCAGGGTTTTTTCTGGACTTTAAAATAAAAATACACAGTAATGTCCTGACAGGTGATCATCTCAGAAAGAAGAGATAATATCTCTTCTTAATTTTACAGCAAACCACTGATTTACTTGTTTTGAAGAATCTTTACAATTGGCAGAAAATGTGTAAAATGTTTAAATTATGTGCAAAATTCATCAAATGTATGAAAATTTTTTTAGTCTGTATTCATCCCTTTTAAGTTAGAGATATTTAATATAGACTTAAACCATCTCTACTTCCATCTTGGTTTTTCATGTTAATAATAAAGTTAATTTATTTTTAATTTTTAATTATGCACCACAGTTAAAGATGTATGCAAGTGTCTAAATCAGGGGTGTCAAACTCATTTTGGTTTAGGTTCCGCATTCAGCTTAATCTGATCTCAAGGGGCCGCACAAATTAACTCATTGCAAGATTAAATAGAACTAATGAAAGTGGACTCGTTGATTTTTATATTAAACAAATTTCACTTTTACAAAAATATATTATGAATAACTTCAGACTTTTTAAGAAAAGTATATACAATTTTAACAATAATTTTACTTAGTTAAACATTTATTTAAGTGCCTTATGCGTAAAAACTGATCACAGTGATTGTACAAAGTTGGACCATCAGTAGCCAGGCTTATGGCGCGGGACCGGTCCACCCGGCGCGGGACCGGTCCAGCCCGACTCGGTCCAGCGCTCCAACAACGGAGCGGAAAATGTCTTCAGATATCATGGTGTCGGTCATGGACACCAACTCTAGAAACTCCTCTGACAGTCAACGTCTCATTAACTCCAGGAATAAATATGGCCAGTTGAGCGACATCAGCAACATCAGTATTCTCTCTCATCAATTGCAACAGAAAATGCAGAAATGACTCCGTTTTGCGTTTAAGCTGGTTGTCCAAGTCTGCTGATAGTTCTGAAATCCTGTCTGCGACGGTATTTCTAGTCAAGCTAATATTGGCAAAAGCTTGTCGCTTCTTAGGACACAACTTGAGCAGCTTCAGCATGCAGTTCC